TAGTACTTGATTTTCGCATCCCCGATTTCTTTAACCACTTCACAAACCCTGATTTTTCTATTCTATTTATATAATCTACCCATTATCCTATAAATCTATTATCCAAATGAAAGAAATTTTTATTTCGGTTTGTAAAAATAGGGGGTGGGTTAACACCTCTTGTCTTATGGGTTTGGTTGTGATTACGTTTGATGGAGCTACTTTATTGGTCGAAGGAATTCTAGAATTATACTAAGTGTGTATTCACCTGTGGAAGTTAAATGTTGATTGGAGGGAAATCGTACTTAATTTCGATTTAAACGAAACGAATGATGTTATAGTCTGTTAGGTTTGTACCATGAGACTCATAATAAAAATTTAACAAACAAAAACATTCGTTTAATTAAAATCAAATTCTATTTTCCTACTATCAATGTTTAATTTCCACGGTACTGGGTTAGTTTGAGTCAGTCTGACTCAACATTGCAAGGCTACTGCGATGAGTTTAACTATGACGTTTCGCTGCTTCACTGAAAAAAATTCCTTTGAGTTTAATTAGAATTTATACAGGCGTTGGTCTGACACTCAATGTGGTAAAAGTTTTTAATAGTTCGTAATTGACGCTAACGGTTGAAAAGACGAGTGGAATACAAAAATACTTGAAGAGGGCTTTAAAAAATTTTCTCCCAACTGTACGATGTGTTTTCGTAAAAATATAAAGTTCATTCATTTCGAAGCGAATTAGGGTCTAAGGAAAATTACAAATTACTTTGTACTATGGTTCGAATCCAAGGAAAATGAGTATCCTGGCTCTATTCGCGTCCCCGATTCCTTCGACCACTTCAGAAACCCTGATTTTTGTATTCCACTTATATAACCTAACCATTCCGTGTATTATATATGCGCTCGCAAAGACGTACGTGCCTGATATTTTGCCGGGGAAATTATAGTTCTTCGGGAATGGCAAGTGGCGATCGTGCAACCTTTTTCGTGTAGCCAATAATCGCGATGTCAGTACATATCGCGCTGCCACACTCTTATTCTGTATGTGGCACAATGCATGACTACGATAATTAACCCCCGGACCAGTAAATAGGTATTAATTTTTTTCTTTTGGAAAATCGTGTCCGTCCGTGGCTGTGCATGTAAAATTGTATAAGCTATCTCTTTAGTTCCTTATCTACGTGTAAATAATATGTACAGACTCCTTACATTGACTACGTGTTGATTTTACATTGATGGAACATTGTTCTATGACAAATTATCGATGCCAAAAAATGAACGTATACGAAATTAAATTTCTAATGGAACGAAGATTGTTCTGATGCTGTATACTAGGGCAGAATCGTGTTTTATCAACTAAAATTTGAGCAAAATTGTAATTATTCAGGGTAGAATGTAACATTGAGTAAATATTTATCTTAATAATTATTGTATATTCGGCATGTAATTCTACTCAGTTTTAAGTGAACAAATATCACAAGGTACAGATGTTTTAATTACCTGACACCTATTGAATCAACTATATACTCATTATAAGCTGATACTGCGTTCATGCAAAATATAATTTGCAATTTCTTCTCAGCCAATTTGTACTATTGAATTTTGTTTTGTATAAGTAGAAACGCAACGTCTTCTTGCAAGTAAACTACCATAAAAACTTCTTTCACGATAAATTTTATGTTCTCACCCACATAATTTTTAAAAGAATAAAAAATCATTCTTGTAAAAACCGTATTATTTCACAGTTTAGTCCTGAATAGGTCAAGTTACATAAAAGAAGTACACAACACACAAGCATATTTTTTACCAAACTCGAATTAACCCCATTCCAGGCAGCGCAAAAACCACCACCGGATGAAATAATACCGTATACTCCTCGATATTTCCTCGGATCGTCGCCTCGATCCTGGAATAAACCGATTACCCAAGGCGTCGCCGAAGAAAGCCGCCGAATAAGGCGTCGATCGGCTGAGATATCGACGCGATCCGTCAACGTTACGAGGTCCCCCCGCAAAAAAAAACCCCCCCCCCCCCGCCACTAGTCTCACTCGTGGGAAATCGTGTCCACGAACATATTCGTTCTCTTGTTGTTTTTTTTCCTCTTACGCAACGTGAAAAATTCCAAAGGAATTTTCAGATTTCACCTAGGCGATTTTTTACCGTGAGTAGCCAGCTGAGGGAGGAAATCCGTGAGAAATCCTCGATCTCGTCTTTTCTCCACCCTTAACAAGGCGAATGGTGACCAAGAGAGTCACGAATAAAAAAAAAAAATGAAAATAACAGTAAGCAGCCTCGAGGAGGGAAAACACCATAAGTGACCCGAAATTACGTTCGTTTCGTATTCATGAACGATCCAAGTGTTACTGGTATCGATCGATCGGACCTCATCTATTGTCCAACGTAACCCCCCCCCCCCCCCCCCCCCCCCCCCTCGTTTCCTTAACGGTGCATCTTCCTCTCGTATGGCGGGGTCCCCACGTGCACGCGTCATTTGAATACGCGACGCATCCCCGCCGCTCGACTCTCCCCTATTATGTGTAAATTGTATTATTTTTACCCCAAATACATCTCGCCCCGAGCGGCCGGCTTCGGCCTCTGGGGTCAACAGGTCAAATTGCACATGTCCACCGAAAGTCACCCCCGGCACGCTCGCGTCCCTGCGACAACCCTCAGGCACCCCTCTCTCTTTTTCCCCTGAAAGTCACGTATACTCGTACTGGAATCGTCCAGAGTGCCTAAGATTTTTGCGGCTGAAAAAAAGATGAGAAGGCTGAAGTTGTGAATTCCGGAGATTTCGTCGTGTCATGGTTTTTTTAACCGTGGGAAATCGGACGGTTCGGGGACTGGGATTACCTGTACGGGTGAGTTACGCGAAGAATTGGAGGGTTTATTGGTGTATAGTAATTGAAAAAATGGGGAATAATGCTTGATTAATATTTAGAAATTCTGCATTGTTAGGGAATAGGAACTTTGTGTTATTGTTTCTATAAGGGAATGTGTGATAAGTAGACTGAGAATGTTTATGCAAATTTGCAATTATAGGTAATTGTATCTGAAAATTAAAATAGATCATTGAATTCTGGACTACACATAGATAGTACTAAACTTCATTGAAACGTTTATATAGAAAAAAGAAGAATTAACAAAGTACCAAATTAGTAGACCCTATAAGTGTCAACAATTCCAACTTCAGCAATTAGAATATATTATTTATTACTAGACTGCGGATTTCATGCATTTATAGCGTATATGACTGCTTAAGACTGAATATGCAAACATATTTAATCAAGTTTGATGAGGTCTTCATTTTATTTTGACCTTAATAAAAACCTTATGAAAGTAAAATAATTTTTGTTTCATAACAGTTTTCCTAAAATGATCCAGAAAGATTGATATTTGCATAAACATTCGCTGTCTATTTATTACACTTTCGGTCCATTATTAAAATTGTGATAAGGAAAACTGAATATTGTGTAGTATATAAAAACAATGAAGGCTTTCTAAATTGTTGACATTTTCCACATTTCTAAACACCGGATTTGCTTCGAATTCTTCATATTCTATTCTTACGTATTAGTTTCAAAACTTTTCCATCCTCCTTCCTCCACCCTACTTTCAGCAACTCTTGTTCCTTAAAAACAACCACCAACAATGGCCAGTTACATACTCTCGAAGGAAAAAATGTTCTACAACTTGCGTTTCTTAAAAACAATCACCAACAATGGCCAATTACATATACACCCTCGAAAGAAAACTCTCGAAAGATGACAGAGCGTATGGAAAGAAAGTGACAGCGCTGGAAAGTGAGTGAAAAAAACTGTAGTGAAAAATCGGGACAAAAAAATCCGCGACATGGTCGCAACGGTAGAAAGTTAACGAATCTTGCGTGAAAGGGGTAGCGGTGTTTCGCCCTCAGCGTTCACCGGGGCGTAATAATTTCTCGCGTGATTTTAAAACCGTAAATTTTTTACCTTTTAACCACCGGGCTGCAGGCACCGTACCTTTTTTCTTCATACTTTACCAGGTCGCGCAGCCCCGTAGCAGTTGTGCTCGCTCATGAGACGTTGTTTTTGCGACAACAAAAACAACGATGTATTCTGCGCACCGTGCTGTATCTCGATCGGTTATCATTTCACACCGATTATAATAAAGCGCTGGTTAGACGAAAAAAAAAACGAAAAAAAAAAGACGAAATGCAAAAAAAAAAAACCTGAAAACGTAACGGGGACAGTGGTGGAAAGAGGGGGGACAGGGGGATGTAGTTAGACGCGAGAGACATCGGGGTGGAGGACTGAAAAAATATATATACGGACCATACTGGAACGGCAGAGAAAAAAAAAACGTCCCGTTCGGGGACCCTCGAGGTCTGGCGCGGATCTTAAATAAGTATATAATAATGCTGGCCTGTTGGGGCGTTTTTAACCCCTTCCTCGCGAACTTCCTTCGTCGCATCGAACTCTCTCCCGTCGTATTCTATTTTTTCTTTCTCTTCCCTCTCTCATCCATCAGGATGAATCGCACCGTGGTTCTTCCCCACGGCTAACGGATAAAATCTAAATTAACTAAATTAAGGGCCCGGGGGCCTCTTTCACCTCGTTTTTGCATACGATTTATACACAACCTTTTTTTCCCCGTACCAGCGTTCGAACAAAAAAAAAAAGGAACAGGAATGGAAAAACGACCGGTTTAGAAGGAGAAAGCGAGCAAACGGTGTTCCTTCTTTTCTTTTCTCGCGAGGATATATCCCGTTCTTTCGTTTCCTAGGCGCGCGCAGCAGTTTGCGCCGCTTCTCGCATCGTTCTCCTCTATAACCTCGCGGAAGATCGTTGAAAGGTCGATTTACGGTTATAAAATTACTCACGTGAAATTCGGGACCGTGGCGCGGCGCTTTTACGAGCAAGATTTATGCCCGACCCTCGCGCGCGCGCAGAGGGTGTACGACGTGTCAAGGAGGAAGAATGGAACCGCGAGAGATGAAGGACTTCCAGGGAAGCCTCGTTTGCAATTACGTTACTTACGCGAAAACAGCTGGATCTGGGGTACTGGAACCGCGTCTGATCCATTTTCTCCTGGAAAAGATAGAAAAATCAGTGTTAGAGTCTGTAGTATATTCGTTACGAATTTGTTTAGGTGGAAATAATTCTGAGAGATGTGGAAAGTGCACAGGACTGCTCAAAATATTGGGACCACTTGTAATTAGTCTGTATTATTGAAGAAATAAACTCTTTCTCAGTTAATGTAGGTAAACTTAACGTAAATTTTTGTAATGTACCACTTCATTTCTTTAACATTATTTCTTTTTCTACTTATGTGTATATGCACATATTATCTTGGAAATTTATAAAAAGTGAGGAAATATTTTATCTTCCTATGTGACAAAATATGACTTCACCTTTGGTCGAGTAGATGATACAAAGTCTTTTTCCTTTTGGCATGTTCAAAAATGTACACATCCTGTTCCAGTATCAATGTCCTAATATTTAATAAAAGTATTTATTTCTGTTTTATTCGGTGTGATCAGAAATAAACGTCAATATTTTCATCTCCTCATTGTAAAAAATAGTAATAATCAAAGCATCTGTGTATTCATTGTCGAACTATGAACGCCCCCCTCATTAGCACCTCAAAGACACATTCTTTCTGCTTCTCTTATTTCCCAATCTTTTTTTGCAGTTAATGAACGGATATACTGTTTCGTGGATAAAAAAAAAGGTCACGATTTTGGCAACAACGGGCGAGGGTGCGAATACCGTCTATTCAGATCCGGTGACTTTTTCACGGAGCACGGTCACGTTCTGTTTGGTCATTTTTCCAGTAGCCACCCTCTTTTTTGACCGTTTGACCATATGTGACGGTCACGGGGAATCCGGTCGGATCGATTGATTTTGCGCAATAAAAGACAGGAAAACCCCCGTGAAAACGTGAACGGGCATGAATGGCCGCCTCGTTTAGCCTAGTCAAATTATGACGCGGCGGCGGTGTTGACCTTCGTTGTAATGATACGTTAAGTTCGCCCTGCGGGAGAACGACCCTCGAAAAGAACGGGAAATCTGTCGAACCGAGGGACATTTTTGGGTGTGGACCGAATTTGTCCGTTCGACAAAATACTGCACTTTTGCTAGAAATATATTCTGTTTTAGTCGACTTCCAAAATTATCTTTTACAGTAATGAATTTATTAGTCGTGGAAAATTAGTTTATAAAATAATATTACGTATACTCATATTCCACTATTTTGTATTAATAAAGCTGTAAAATGAATTGCTTTCGAAATATCTTCTCATTTTAAAACGATAACGAGGGTGGGTATTGTTGCAGAAACAGAGTCTTTTAATTTCTTCAAAATAAATATCAGGTTGGTAAAACATAGTAAATTATTTATTGGTGTACCTAGTAGATTAATTAACTACTCAAAGCTACCTGCAACCTTCTAACGTCTACTAATACAATATATAACCATGTATAACAAAACACGATGAAATAAAATCATTACCAAAGATCAGCAGAATTTTTTTTATTTTCAACCCCCTCCAACTCAATGCATATTGTAATGTACGATAATTTTAATGTATGTGTTGAAGCTATAATACATACATATTATATATTATATACATTGCAATGTACAAATGGACTAAAGCAAACATAAAATAGCTTCAGGAGAAGCATTAAAAATTTTGTACATTGCAATGTGCACTGGGTTTGAGGGGGTTATCCTAATTAATTCCTCGCTAAATGAAACTTCCTTTTAAATCTGAATCTCGTAAAACAATCTATGGATATTTAATTTTCATTTGTGCAGAATACAATCTACTTAAAGTTTAAAAACAACTTCTACTCAACGATCAACATTTATCATATATCACAATTTTTCAATTACTTCTGACTTATTCTTCCCAGCCACAAAAAGAATGACCCTACAAAGATCTAACAATCAGCTCCACACTCCATATGCCCCAAGCAAACCGATCACCAGATCCGAACCGCAGACGAAAAGTAAACGGAAAAGCAGCAGCGGGTGAAAGTGGTCCGTGGCGCGAGATCACCGACCGATCAATGAACGTATTAGCGCAGGGGTGGTGGAGGGGGGTGGTAGGGGGGATTTCGTGCGATTCAGCGGAAAAAATACATTTGTCAGGGAGTCCACGATCCTCAGCCGGAGGATCTCTATCCGGGAAGATTAATTACTCCGTCGGTTGCCGGCGAATAATTAATTAACGTCGGGAATAATGAAATGGCTCGCCTCCGTTTTTTGTTTTCCGCTGACCCTGCGCGCCTGTCGTGACGGCGTAATCAAAGGATCGACGCTCGGTGACCCTCGACACTGACCAAAGGATCAGTATAAAACCGAAGAAGAATATCCACCTGTCGACCGGACCCTCGTCGCTCTTTAAACCCCAGAAACTTGTTTCCACGTGGACGAACATCACACGGTATATTGCCGCCTTTTGTCCCAGTGCCGTTCGCAAGGTACGTTTTCGAATTCGAAAAAAAAAACGTCACACACCGTGAGACACGAGTTTTTCATCCCTGGGTATCGTGATCTTGTCGGTTACCGTCGTCGACGGTTTTTTTTTCTCATGATGTTTGCAGAAGGGTTACGTTACACGGATCAGAACGTCGTGGCGTCTCTGCTTACCGTAGCGGCCCTATGCTAAATAGGGGTGGCTCGTTCGAAAGGAGGGAAAAAAAAATATATTAATAGCCATCCAGCCTCCTCCTGGGACGTTTTTTTCCCCTGGCGCAACCCTATCCCAGCACCCCTGTGTCTCCTATCTTCTTTTTTCTTTCGTTTCTCCACGGTCACCCCTATAACGGGCCCCCGTGTGCGGTAAGATATACCCGTGATAGCGCGACGGCCCAACCGACTTTTTCCTACCCCCGTGGCCATCTTCCAAATGAACAGTCGCCTCTCGAATCCGTCTAGAGTGCCCGTCCATATTCTATCGAGGAGCATCGAATAATAAATATCGATACGGGTTCAACCCTTGCCCCGGGGTGAATTATTCGAGGGTATTTTTGTGTTGGCCGAGAGACACACGAGGTTTTCGGGTGGTTCGTATACTCCATTGAACGAGGAAGAAGAAGATTTATCTTCGAATACGGTTTACTGGAAGTAGATGTCGGACGTGAAACGCAAGTATCAACCCTTGGAGTATTGGGGAGTTCGGAGGTCCCGTGGAAGAAGCACGTAATGGGTCAATATTGACCCGTATGTATTCTTCTTCATCACTCGAGTGAGTGATTCTTGCTTATCAAAAGTGACATTTCGAACTGTACAGAGTATTTTTTCAGGGAATATTAGTTAACAAAATATTAATAAATGTAACTACTTGATGATTGTTGGTCGTGAAATAAAAGTCATATAAATGAAAAATGGAAACTAAAGCTCATTTTATATACTACTTAAGTCTTACAGGTACGAAAGTAAATGAAGGCGGTATTTCCAAACAGAGGGAATATACTCTTGCTCGTAACTATTAGGATACTTATCAAAAATGCAGTAAATATTACAGGACCTTGCAGAATTGCTGAAGGTCTACAAGAAACATTGTTCAAGAGATATTAAAGCTCGATGGGTAACCCTTGTGTTAAGTAATAAACTTAATCTTACGAAACATTACCTTATCTTCGTACAAACCAGGTGTCCTAATACATTTTTTCTCCAACATATAAAACTGAATAATCCTGCCCAAAGGATTAAATTTCTCGAGAAATCCGTATCGCCTTATCGGCTCCAATATGAAGAATCGTCGGCCTAAGGCAGTCACCATGAGCTTTTAAAAAAGTGAATCAAGGCAGACCCTGTGTTCAGACATGGTAGTTTCAATCCTCCATACTTTCCAGAAACATTCTATTCCATCGAGCACCCGGACATAAGGGTGCAAAACGCAACACCCAACAGCCATCCTGCCAATTCAGCGTTCCCGTCACGGTGAAATCATCAGAATCAACGCTAGGACCGTCATCCCCAGGCCGTCAGTCTGCCAATCTGCAAATCTGTCCGCAAACTAGGAAAATCTCCGGGCCCATAGTGTCGCGTCGAAAGGGTTGCGTAGTCACGGATTCGGGCTGTTTTGACGATTCCGGTGTCGCCCGGTTGGAGCAGCTGTTGTTTTGTTGCGCAAGCAGGGCAAGCAAGGCAAGCAAGCGAGTAAAGCTGCCCGCGGGGGATTTCCATGGGGGTGTCTCGGACGTCGTTCGTTGTGTCCGTCGGTCCGTCTGTCTGTTTTCTGTCTCTTTTTCTCTCTCCTAAGCCTGAAAGGGTTCCCTGTTATGCTCGCCGTTCACGCATGTGGAACTGAAAGGCCGACCGTTCTGCGACTCCCATTATATCACCTATCACCTTCGTCCACCCCCTCGAATACATATGGCCCCGTCTATGGGCTACATGGGGGCGCGTCATCTTGCAGCTTGCGCAATGATCAGGAGGATGATCCTGTCTCTCTTTCTCTCTTGCCTCCCTATTCCTCTCTGCGTGTTGAGTTCACGGGGGCCACGCGTTGACGCGCTCGTATTCCATTAGCGTCTGCAACCGAGAATCGGCTGAACTTTTGGGGGTAGATTAGAGAAATGAACGGGGATGACGGTACGGTTTTGACGATCTTGATGGGAACCGTGTCCTACCGAGGAGGTTTGTTTATTTCTTTCGTTGAATTTGTTTATCGTTTCTATGTGTTAGGAAACTTGATGGGTGATGTTGTTGTGGAGATTGTTGGGGTTGGTTGTTGATAATTAGAGGCTAGGATGTGACTGAGGAATTGTTGTAGCGATAATAGGATTTGTTGAGCAATGTTCGTGAGTAGAAAGAGTAACTTAGTGGGTATATACAGACTCCTTTCGATTATTGTCGGCTAGTTGTACACGATTATTGTACAGGCGTTATCCCCACCACTGGGGATGCGTTGTCCGTTAAGTCTCCGCTTTTAAAACACGAATTTAGAAGGGCCTGAAGCATTTTTCCCTATAAGATTATTGTTCTGGCGTGGACCTGAGTTCGGGACAATAATCGAGAGGAGACTGTACCTATTTTTGGTGGATTTTAGAGGCATGTGAAAATTGGGAGGTTTATA